GACCCATCCAACGGTTGTTCTTTAGAGCAAATTTTCGCTTTGCCTGCCGAGACAAAATTTCGACCGACCTTTGGAGCATCCCTGCCGACATCCTTGATGGTCTTCAAAATATGGGAACCAAATGAGGAGCGCATCAATATGCTCATGGGATATAGATTCTTGTTTGTGGGAGAGAAAGGTAGGGAAGCGGGGGGAGCGATGACAGAGTTGGTGACCCGAGGGGGAGGTAACTGGGCTGCTTTTAATGTGGCTTCAGGGCGGAAGGAATGGCACCACGTCCTCGCTAAGGAAAAGGCTAAACATGCCAAGATTTTTGGGCAACAGAAGGCGCTGGTCGTTGTTGCAGATGCAAAGGGGATGAAAACGGCCGTTGGATCTGATCAATGGGAAGAATTCGTCGATGAAGCCAAGAGGTAAGGATTCATGCAATATTGCTACATCAAGCAGATTTAACGTTGATCAGCTTCGATTTGAGCGTCGTGGCACCGGACATTATTCTACAAGTGGTCCTGCATGTTAACACAGCGCTCATTGCTTCCCGCGCTGACGTCGATATGGGCAAATGTCAGTGTCTTTCTGGTCCCTTTGACTCAGTATGCCATGAATATCTGAAAGTCGGTCTATATATAGCGGATGATCGTTCTTCGTCACCTCTGCCGGACTTTGTGCCGAACACGCATCCAGAGGAATTTTCCTATCCACCTGCTACGGCATCAGGAGCCAATGGAGGGCCATCTAAGACCCTTAAACAATGGGTTACTCCTTCCGTTGTGTCTCGTCCTTCTACCCCTCCAGAAACGTTAGGTGGGGGGGACATTCCACCTCCACCGCGGAAGGTTTGTGGTTCTTTTGTCTGTATATTTTTCTTCTGGTGTCTGATCCTCGCATCCCTCACTCTATCATAATCTGCAGGTATTGAAAAGACGAGCACATGCACCACTGCCATCCATAATTGGCATCGATGACCCCTCGGTCACCGAAAGCGCACCTGACACACTAGCAGCAGAGGTCCCAGTCGTAGCAGGTTCTTCAGTACATCCATTGCCGTTTGCTGATACCACTGTACGTCATACGCCTGTCCCATTTTTAAAAGATATTTATGCTTCATATTTCCAGACACCAATTCCCGCGCGCTCATCACGACTCAAGCGACGGGCGGGAACAATTGCTTCGACTCTTGCCAATACGCAGGCCATCCAAAGCCAGGCTGCTGAACAGTCGGGACAGGAACCTCCGCTGAAAAAATTCAAGGCTCTTTTTGATGCAACCCATCCTGATCGGCACTCTGTCCAAGATAGCCAGAGTGGTATGAGTTATAGCGGCGATATACTTGATTCACAATTTTTTCCTCGGAGTGAAACTCAGACGCAATCAGGCGCCACCTCCGGAGGTGCAATGAACGTCGGGGAAGCAAGGCTCGACACCGTAGCAGAAGAAGAAGGAAGTGGGATAACTTGGACTCAGGGTCGAGGACTAAAGAGAAAGTCACGGGCTGATGATCATGAGGGTAACGCTGACGCAGCCGGACTCGATAGGCCTGGAGAGGGTGCATCTGCACAAAGTACGACGAAAAAACGAGCCGTGGAAGACGTCAATGCGGTCCAAATTAGCAGCCGAAACGGTGCACCTCCTGTTTCCCGTTCCAAACTAGCCTCTACAATAGTCAAACGACCCGCTTCGAAATCAGGAGCAGCTCCAGGAAAACCCGATACCGATGCCGCATTTTTGAAAGCCGTTGCTTCGACGAAGAGGGGAAAGAAGACCGAGGACGCGTTTGATCGCGAATTCAATAAGTTAAAGATTTCGAAGCCCGATGTACATCATGAGGAACAGGAGAAGGAGTGGGCAGTCCTCGACGATTTTGAACAAGACAGGGGCATAAGAGGTAATTTCATGGTGGTATTGGAGATGGATGTATATTCCAGGGAGAACGGGCCGGGACATATGAGAGGCAATGCGGCGAGACTAGAATGGCAGGACAAGCCCGATTTCAAGAAATTCAAGAAGGTCTGGATCATTGATTCATTTTGAAATTCCGTTCTAATTATGTCAGTAGAAGTCAATCTTGCCCGCAAGGACCAAAGTGGAAGTTGTAGTGCATGAAGAGAACGATTATGGCATGGGTTCCGGTGCGTTCTCAATGGTAGAGTTAATTGTCGCCATAATGACGTCATTCTGCAAGCATACTGGAAGGGAAACTCGGAGTCGCAATCGCAAGGTCCCAATGCACAATCGAGCCAGCCGCACATGCGGAAACAATCCAGTGGTCATACTCAGACAAGTCGTCCAGGTAGAGGTCGTGCGTTCATCGTTATTGACTCAGACGAAGATGCCGTGAGCCCCACTCCTCGCAAAAACAATGATACAGTGCCATCGCAAACAGCTAAGCCAGCAGACGATCAACGAGTTACACAGAACCGCGAAAAGGCGCAATCTCTTTTTCTTGATTCTGACAAGGACGACAACAGCGAACCCCACGCTCCGAACGATGCCGATTTTGTAGACGAGGACTTGAGAGGGTTTAATGACGATGCGATGGCCCACCAGTCTAGTACACTCAGAACACAAGAGCCATCGGCACGACAAACGAGGTCTTCGAAACCAACGGCTACGAAGCGAGGGACGAAAAAAACACCTGTAATTGTTGATGATGACTCGGATGATGGTGCTACATTCAAGGGCTTTAGGGGCAAAAGGATGGGTGCCCGATAATTCCAGTTGTTTGCTCTATTTTCTGGCGGAGCTATCGTCCCTTTCATCCTCATTCTTACCGCAAGCTACCTTTTCGATCAAATAATCACTGTCACCAATACAACTTATTTAATATATAGCGTCAGATTCGCCAAGCGTTCGAGTTTGGATATACAGCATCTTTATATCTGCAGTCAGCAGAATAGTCTATTCCAACATGTAACTTATAGCTCAAGATGCACGGTTAGCCACGAAACTCAGTTTGTATGTGAGGTACATGGGGGATGCAAGTTGCAACACCAACTCAGACTATACGACGGTCCATCTCGTCATGAATCGAAAATCCAAGACGTCGTTGTGTTTTGGTTGCCTTTCGTCCTCCTGTTTGGCTAGATGGTATCATCATTGAGTATTGAATGCATATGATGGTGCATTCAACTCACAGCTGTTCCTGACATACGAAACTGTCTGGTGCACCATCCCAGTCTTCTAACATATACTTGCCAACACCACCTTCTATGCCGTCGTTATCTATTTGTGGGCCAAACAAATCCAATGCGAGCTGCGTGTGACTGACGCCGGCGTACGTGGTAACACACCGAGGATTGACGAGGATGCGAGCCGGACGGAAAAGTGAATTCGGTATAGAAAGACGCGGAGGAGGGACATCGGCCAGCGGCACATCCGAGTCGGGCATAGCATCATAGTCTGAACCAGCATTGGCATCATAGTCAACTTCTTGCTCTTTACGACGGGCAACACCCTCTTCCTCCAAAATGTTATCGCGTTTTCTCCTCTGGAACCCATCGGCCAATTCCGATGCCTTTTTCCCCTCGCCGGCCTTATTAACCCACAAGTCTCTGCAAAACCATGCCTGACTACTGTCTAGGCACGGTGCATCGGGCTCCCGCAGAGGCACGCTGTCGGAGGACGATAGATTATGATAGTCAGTCCCTGCACGATATGCAATGCCTTGGTAGTAGGATTGGGCAGGGTCGACGACATGGGTTCCCGACTCACAGCAGAACACCTGAAATGGCAGATGCTGAGCATACCTGGCTGCGCCAGTTTTATCACGAGGCGGTACAGCGTCAGGTTTTGATGAGGATTTGGATTGTCTAAATTGGTCCCCGTCTATGTCACGCGTTCTCCACCTTGCAGTGCAACGATATGTCACTGAGTTTACGATAAGGTCGCGGTAAAGCTACTCACCGATCGGAAAAAATGAAAAATCCGTTATGTTCTGCCCAATCCATACCGCAAACCATCGCCGCTTCATTCGCTTCGCTGACCTTAATTGTTTCAAGAATATCGTTAGGACAGGTGAAACCCTTCAGCCATATCACCCGGTGAAATTTAATGGCTCGTTTCTGGAACAGCTCTCGTAGCGGCTCAAGAGCCAGATTCTTCATGTAGGCCTCCTCCAACGGGTAGTAAGCAGCATGGGGATCTTCCGTCATCCCTGGCACCCTACGAATCCTGAATGGTACTCCCAACAGTATCAGAACTGCCTCGCAAAGATCCGTAAGCGTCGCAGTTGAGTCCGTGGAGTCGTAGTCAAGCATTGAAACAAATAGGTTTGATGTGCCTAAACGTTTGGCCATTTGCACGATAACAGCGAGTTGATCGACGAGAAAATGGTCTGCGGAGTGAATGACAATACCAATGTAATAAAGATGGCCTTGTTGAGCGAGGTCGTCGTAAGCATCTTCGTGTTTATTCTGTCCAAACGGACGGGTAAGCGTCGGACAGGCCGCGGCAACCCAGCCATTAAGTGATAACAGCTGGTCGATGGAGCTGAGCACACTCTGAGTATCCATATGGGCACTCTCCTTCCCTGTGATGCTGTTTAATCACGATTCAGATTTGCCCGACACAAGAAATAGTAGCCACTCACTAAGGTTTCTGGAAGCGCTCCCAGTAATCTGTCACGCCATTCCTTATAACGTCTGCTAGTAGATCGTCCCTGTCATCTCTGCCCATTCGGACCTGCAAGAATTTGTGTTTTTGAACATTCAGCGTTTTGTCTGATCTAGTAACACGTTCCAAAACATTCTGCTCCTGTATGTCAAGGGAGTCGGGAGTGTAGAACGAAGAGGTGCGTGATGAGGATGATGAGAAGAAGATCAAACGGAGGAAGCAACCAAGTCCAAGCGCGAATAAAATGCGAGTAAGACTTCGTCGGCGCAAAGCGACAGCCATGGCATGTGTGGGCTATGCCACAGAGGAAAAATAAACTGTGTAGCTCCTCGTTAACTCCTCTACTATGTATACGTGACCTCACGCAGAAATATATTACGATGGTAGATCCTTCGATAGCTCAGTTGGAAGAGCGCAAGACTGTAATAGGATATAAATAAATCTTGAGGCCACCGGATCGACGCCGGTTCGAAGGATTCTTTTTTACCCGCTATTGTGATTCTGGTTATGAGTGTAGATACCATCATAATACATGCAGGTTTATATACTGTAAACTACATACTAGAAAGTTCTGTAATATAACCATAGTCTTGCCATAATTGGGCTTAGCATTACAAATCCTCGTGATGACCGTGACAATGATATGAGCTGGTGGGTTCCCACCAGCAATGGAGAGCTTGCTAAATCCAAGTTTCCAAGTTATTGGCTGATGGCCAATTGCAAATTTCTGAAGTGCTGAACAATTTTTAGATATTTTCATAGAGAAAATAATAACTGCATAAAGACAAAATAATATTACGGTCGTTTGCAGTGGATTTTCAATGAATAAGGAAATTTGAGGACTTGGCAAACTTTTGTCAATTTTGGCCTTTCGTCAGGCCTCTGTCCCGTTTCAAGATTAAATTCACTATCTAAGTACCTCAGGTATGGGCTCACTCAGAATGGTTAAATATCACATGATGTAATGCTTTGTGACAGGTTTGACTCTCCGTTTCTGCTATCTCCCATCACTCTCTGTAACAACTCAGTGATAAATTTATAGATCACAGCTATTTGCAGATATAATGACACAGGCATGTATTTTCAATGAATAAGGAAATTTGAGGACTTAGCAAAATTTTTGACAATTTCTGCCTTTCGTCAGGCCTCTGCCATGCCCCAGGATGTGAAATTTAATATCCCCGTATAAGCATTTGAATGTACCCTAATGTGATATTTCAGACCCCAAATGTATAAATACTCCAGTTTGATATGTGAATGGGACTTGCAAAGTGGTAACTGTTAGTCACCCAGTACCAGGGCTGGCCACCATACCTGTATACAGGTACAACTGTACCATGTACGGGTGGGATATGGGTGCTGACTGTCTCATCTACACACTGTACACTGACCATCAGCTGGCATCAACGGCATGGTGACAGTTGGTTTGACAGCTGTTTGACAGGTGTCATGGTTGTTATGAACACGACATGGACCCACATGGACCTATGGTCACATAGTTCAAAATCACCAACACATGGTCAATTTTGATCTAGAAGGCATCTGATCAAAGGACCTTCCCCATCTATCAAGGTTTACCTGGGGTGATGGCTCATCATTGGATGACATCATTCCTTATCCTTATCATAGAAGCGCTGTGCGCTTCTCCTCACTGCATGGTTAGAAGCGTTGTATGCTTCTCATCTTATTGATAGAAGTGCTGTGCACTTCCCCTTATCATTCCTTATCATCCACTATCAGCCAATAGGAATAGTTCCAGCCGCTGGATGAACCCTTAGCTGCTATCTTTGATGTACATCAGTGATACCGCACATCCAAGCCTTCCTAATGATCTGATGACTCTGGTGCTGTGCACCAAGAGTATTGCCATCCAATGGCATTACAACCTCATCACAGGACAATGTGATAACCATACAGCATGGTGCAATGCACAGTCGGTTGCACATGCTCTTATTATAGATAGGACTATAGTACAGCCATGGATACATGTGGCTCAATTGTGATTGGTAGATAGGTACCTATTACTATACTTGTACCCAGATCTGAGATCTAGTAGATTAGGTATATGAGTAGAGTAGTATCATGTTGGTACCTTGAACAATCATTAACAACAGTTAGCCTAAGCAACTAGCTGGAGTTCTCAGTTACTCTTACCTTTGGACTTAGTATGGGTGATTCTGAGTACCAGGAACCATCCTCTTAGTTGAGGACCTGGACTCTGTAGCCCTAGGTCTTAGGTTTGAGTTGAGTTCCTTACAAATGTGAGGCTAATTTTATATTTATATTAACTATGATAGATATACCCATACAGCCATACATGAACCCATATACAGCTGTCCAGCATATGGTTATGGATGGCCATCCACAATCTGTATAACGGTGATGAGCCCGCTATCTCACTGACCGCATATTTTCACATTTTACTGCACTCACTCGAACACATACAAATGATCATGTGAATACATGACACGCCACCAACATCACATGACCTTTTCCAATGATTTCCGCACATTTCCAATGATTTCCGATGATTTTTAGTGATTTCTGATGATTTTAGCTTTCAGCCAACATCTTGCGTGCATGGCAATCCCCAATTCAGTACTGCACAGCACCCCCGGAAGTTTTACAATCTGTACACGGCACATCAGTGCATCAAAATTGTGAGGACACATCAGCAGGATCGCTTCAGCATTGAGTTGGCCTGGCACTTCAGACATACCATGGAGGTCACATGACTGCTGAACAGGCGTTGTGAGCTGGATATGGTAGTTTTGGATGTTGGACTTTACATGCACGTCTCTGGACATTAAATTCACCTGATAAAAATTCATATGCTCTCCCTTTTCATTTTAAAATTTCACATTATATATATATACTCCCCTGTACATACCAGAAAACAAGTAGAACTTCACCCCTCATCTCTTGGAATCTTATTGCGGCTCAGATATCTTCTCTCGACCTCATACTTCGTCACTCACACTCACGTACTCGCTCTCACTCTCATTATCTCGTTATTAGACTTTGCTCTCCCATGCTCTCGCTTTCCCACACTCTCTCACACTCTCCCACACTCTCCCATGCTCGTGCTCTTGCACCCACATTTGCACATGTTACATGCTTTGCTCGTCACAATCAGTATCACACATTGTAAAAACTCATTTTATTTCAACTCACTCATTATAGGATGGGTTACTCGCCAACTTGCACCCTCAGTTCACATCTTATTAGTAGTGTTTTGATTTTGATTGATTTCATCGTCATACACACTGCTAGCGTATCAATGGATATGGCCATATCACCACCCAACTGTGACTGGTACGGTGATGGGACCCATCATATGGGTACCGTATATATGCCTGATACAGACTACAATGGCCAGCCCTACCCAGTACAGATTTCATTTCCATGCTGTGTTACACATATTGAAGACATAGATACACTAATATCAATAACATCAACACTTCTAAGTGTAAGGAACTCAGCTCAAACCTAAGACCTAGGGTTATGGAATCCAGGTCCTCAATGAAGAAGATAGTTCCTGGTACTCAGAATCACCCATGCTAAGTCCAAAGGTAAGAGTGACTGAGGACTCCAGCTAGTTGCTTAGGCTAACTGTCGTTAATGATTGTTCAAGGTATCTACACAATAATACTCTACTTATATGCCTAATCTACTAGATCTCAGATCTGGGTACAAGTATAGTAATAGGTACCTATCTACCAATCATGATCGAGCCACATGTATCCATGGCTGTACTATAGTCCTATCTATAATAAGAGCATGTGCAACCGACTGTGCATTGCATCATGCTGTATAGTTATCACATTGTCCTGTAATGAGGTTGTAATGCCATTGGATGACAATACTTCTTGATGCACAGCACCAGAGTCATCAGATCATTAGGAAGGTTTGGATGTGTGGTATCACTGATGTCCATCAGAGATAGTGACTAAGGGTTCATCCAGCAGTTGGAACTATTCCTATTGGCTGATAGTGGATGATAAGGAATGATAAGGGGAAGTGCGCAGCAGTTCTATCAATAAGATGAGAAGCATACAACACTTCTAACCATGCGGTGAGGAGAAGCGCAAAGCACTTCTATAATAAGGATAAGGAATGATGTCATCCAATGATGAGCCATCACTCCAGGTAAACCTTGATGGATAGGGAAGGTCCTTTGATCAGGTGCCTTCTTGATTGAAATTGACCACGTGTCGGTGATTTTGAACCATGTGATCATAGGTCCATGTGGGTCCATGTCATGTTCATAACACTAAGGTAGTGCACACTCGGAATGGTTAAACATCACATGCCCAGGCATGACTCCACCAGAAATTGATTCTTTTACCCAATAGCATTAACTACAACAACCTTATGGAAAATTGAGAAACATCAACTCAAGAGGAGCTACTGGTTTGTAACATCTGCCAGCTCAGAATGTTTTTATATAGTTTGTGGAATAAGTAGATAGCTTTCCAAGATTTATTTTAAATCTATGACACTATTGCCTTTTTGAGTTGTGCATTAAACCGTATCTACATATTCCACAGCCACATTGTGAGAAAAGTAAATTGACAGTTATTTTTAGGAAGAGTCATCTGTTAAAATTTTGTTGCTAAATCTTTAGTGACTATTCTGTTGTTGTTGTTGTTGTTAAAAGGTTCTGATAATAAATGATGCAGACAGATAATGCAACCACACACACATCTAGATCGGGTGACATGTGAATGCAGCCACATGCATACAAATTGAGATGGCCACTGTTTTGTGGTGCATATGCATTTGGTGACCCAATATGGACAATAGTGTTATGAACATGAACCATGGACCCATATGGACCTACAGTCACATGATTCAAAATCACCAGCACATGGCCAATTGCGATCTAGAAGGCACCTGATCAAGGGACCTTCCCAATTTGTCAAAGGAACCCAGGATGATGGCTCATCAAAGGATGACATCATTCCTCACCTACATCATAGAAGCACTATGTGCTTCTCATCTTATTGATAGAAGTGCTATGCACTTCTCCTTATCATTCACTATCAGCCTATAGGAATAGTTCCAGCCACTGGATAATCCTTTACCCACTGTCTCTGATGTCCATCAGAGATACTGCACATCCACAGCCTTCCTGGTGGTCTAATGACTCTGGTGTTGCGCACCAAGAATATTGCCAACCAATGGCATTACACCCTCATCACAGGACAATGTGATAACCCTACAGCATGATGCAATGCACAGTTGTGTGCACATGCTCTTATCATAGATAGAACCGTAGCATAGCCATGGATACATGTGGCTCAATCATGATTGTAGCTATTATTATACTTGTACCCAGATCTCAGATCCAGTAGATTAAGTATATAAGTAGAGTATTATCATGTAACTACCTTGAACAACCATTACTTAAGTTCTTATGTTGCTTTGGACTGGATACTTGAGCATGGGTGTGGCCAGACAATGGGATTATACA